GTTGAATGATTTCACAAATGAAATGTCGACAACATCAACAGCAATCAACACGGCATCTTCGTTTGATGGTTCTACAAGTAAGATACCGGCAATGTCAACAGAAAGCAATAGCGTATTTTCATTTGATGATTCTACAGACAAAATATCGACAACATCAACAGCAATCAGCACTGCATCTTCATTTGATGGTTCTACAAATAAGATACCGACGATGTCAACAGAAATCAGTAGCGTATTTTCATTCGATGATTCTACACACAAAATATCGACAACATCAACAGTAATCAACACCACATCTTCATTTGGTGATTTCACAAATGAAATATCGACAACGCGAACAGGAATAACAAGCACAAGTAACGAAGACACCAGCGAATTTCCTTTTGTGCATAGCACCACCACCACGGCAGGATTGTGGCAAAGTAATTATCTTCGTGTATGATTTGAAGGAAATTTGCTATACAATGTGCTATTATATTTATTCAGTTTTACGTATTCAACTGTATTATACAATTACAGAGGCAAATACCAGCAATTTATCATCGATTGTAACGTCGAATCCTGTATTGAAGGAAAGTTTTCCAGAAATAGAAAAAATGGTGAGACAGGGCTCGCTTATGACTTAAGAACTTGAAAAGTACTGTTTGTTGTTTATTGTAAAGATAAAGGGAAGTTTGTCAAACATATCTACTAATATTAGTGTAATAATTCATGAAGCTCGAATCAACCGAAACTCTGAACTATTGAGGTGGTAAGTGTAATTATTGCTTATCGATAAAAAAGTGTGTACTCTTATTGATATTGTTTTGTTCGAAAGGGAACAAAGTGAAGCACGATCAAAATCAATGTATTACCTTTATGTTAATGCAAATCTACAAGTACCATTGGTATATCTTAGTGGGTCTGCGGGCATGGATGTAATACAAACAGCTTTGGAACAGACACCACCAACTCTACTTCAATTGAGTACAGAAAATGGGATTGTGTCTATAGTAGTTGAGAAACCAAGAGTTCAAGGTAATGTAATGTTTGAAATCAGAGTGGCCTACTCATCCAGATTTTCTAGACATATTCATGGTTTTCTTAATTTTTCTCGGATCTGATTGTTACTTGGAATAAGCAAAAAGATTTTTTAGCTCAATTTTGCAACATAGAGAAGCAATTTTGGTAGGAAAATATTCTCCGACGGTTGGTAAAATTACCGAGGGAACGTATGAGCTCAGGAATTACTTCGTGACACTGTACTCTTTCATAAGTTTTTTCTATTTAATCTCAGATTAAATGCTAGAGATCGCCATGATAACATATTTTATGGTCATGACCACTTGCAATTATGGATCATCGTGTAATGTATAAATATGTGCTCTCTTTTAGATAAAAAGAAATAGAGCCTTTTTTTTACTTGTATCGGGCAATGTGCCAAATCAGCAACAAGAAACACAGGATTACGTACGTGAAGATGAACAGGCTAGGTGGTAGTCGAGGAGTAGACGAAAATAGAATCAGAGATTGAATCTTGAACGTCTCTGTCCACATCATCAGATGAGAAGAAGCATACCAAGAGGAAGCCATTAATTGCTTGAGGGTGTAAGTATTATCTGTTCACTCGTGCACATGTTCACACCCACCATATGATAAAACAGAATGGTAGCAGAGAAAAACCTAGATATCAAATCTCGATAAGGCCACTTAGTTGCATTCCTTATACTAAATACATGCGCATAGAAAGCAATATTTAAATATCAAAGACAAGTTTTAAATAGTCAACCGTGAAACCTTCTGGGTTTTCTGCATTCTCTTCAATATTTGAGTTCAGCTTATAATCATTATTGTATTTGTTTATCATAGGTTTAAAACCATTGTCGTCAAAACCAAATCTTATTGGTTTAATTGTTGGTATTGTTATGGCAGGAATTAGTGTTCCAGTCCTTTTAGGTGTAACTGGTTATTTAATTGTACGAAGACACAAACAAAAAAGACGAGATAAGGAGTTTCAAGGTGATTTTGATTTACCTATTGATCAAAAATATTTGAAAAAAAATCAGCATGATAACGGTGCAAAAGTTTATTCATGTGAACTCTCTGAACAGAATCCATTACACTCAACTATTTTTCATTCAGTTAAAAAATGGGTTGGTTCTCTGGAGAATGGTTTCAAAATAAAAAAGATCGAAATCATACAAAATCGTAAAAAATTTAACCATTTTCGTGAACAAATTGAAATTGTTGAAAGGCATATGAAGGAACAAATATTTCAACCGAATTGGGATTGTGAAAAAGACATGGCAGAACGAAAAATAGTACTAAAACGATTAGAGCGTTTATATAAACAAGTAGATCATAATAGAATAGCAAATATTGTACGAGTATGGCATGGTTGTGATAAAAAGGTCCTGCCAAAGTTGTTGGCTGACGGTTTTGCATCGTTAGAAGTACTTGATGATGGATGGTTTGGTAAGGGTATGTATTTTTCATCAAGTGCCCAGTATGCATCACGTTACTGTCAAGGAGAAAATCCATGTCTATTAATGTGTTATGTATTAGTTTTAAATCCATTTCCTGTAATTTCTTGTGATGCACGGCACGATAAGAAACCAGAAGACTTCAGGTTCTATGGACGTGGTAATCATAATAATTACCAATGTCATTATATTCCAGTTTCTCCTGTTACTGATAAAGAATTTACAACGGATTATCGTCCACCGAAGCGTATAGATGATGCACGCTATGATGAATTAGTTGTTTTTGAAAGTGCCAATATTTTACCACAAATCGTCGTCCATTTAGAGCGAACATTGTCGCCATCACGAGAAACAAAAAATGAACTGAAGCCAACTGCAATACCTAGAACGAATACTCGAACAATAAGGGAAACAAAAAATTGGGATCAAAATCATCGTGCAGCAAATAGACGTCGGTATGAGGGAGTGCTAATTACTCAAAAGAAATAAGATCAAAGGGCAAAATCTGGAATATTGAAAAATCTCGAAATTTCTTAAAAGCAACCCATCACACTGAATTACTGTTGAAAATCATCTTCTTTCATTGGACTTTGGATATTGGAGTGTGGCTGAAGAGCAGGTTCACATACACACGCACACCGTACTATAGTCGACGGTGAAGATGTATACACTAAATTCCAAACTTTTTTTCAGTCTTCAGCAAATTTATGATTAATAAGCCTCGTATCTATCAACTATTCAGATTGCTTTTATATGTTATGATTTTGAGGTTTTTGTTTCTGAATTCTCACTTCACGTAATTTTGGCATTCGAGATTAATTCTTTACTGGATTTTAGGTTTTTTTTCGCAAATTTTCTTTCGAAATATCTTTTCCACATTTTTTCTTCATGCATTTTTCCATCTGTTTTAGGCGTCGAAGTAATAGGTATCTCACTGAAGAACCAATTGAAATGAATATGATAAAATCAGTGGTAGACCGTCATGATGGTGAAGATTATGATCATCAGCGACGAAGCAATAGCAGACAAAATGTTAAGAAAAATAATGTTAGTGTTATCGATATTCCTATGAATGATGACAGTTGGCGACATTTTGTAAACCCTAGCCAACCGTTTGATAGATGACGAAGTAGAAAAATGAACATTTCAATTGTGTTCCTGTAATGACATGCTTCACCTTCTCGATTTAGCTCCTATGTAAGAGCAAAGTCACCGAATTACAATGACATTTCTCTTGTAACTTTGAATTTAAGAACTTACTTTCCTTTTTCTCTCTGTGTATTTTCACTGATTGATATGTTTTATCTTATTTGAATCTAATAATACTTTCTTTCTGTTTTGTCTTTGAATATTGATAAAATACGTTCTGATCCAATTTGGCACACTTGGGGCACTGTTTCAGTAGAAACTTACAAAAGTTGATATAGCTCAAAGGGTATGATTTAGCTATGGATGTTGTTGTGAGTGTGGACGTGCTTTTTGGGGTATGTTGTGAATGCCGATGCAGTGTATGTGACTGTCAAATTGCGTGTATTTGTGAATGAGGTTGTCATTCGGGATTGGTATACGTACAAGTTTGTTTGTGCAGCTATTAGAACTCGGCAGTTCTGTAAAAAGTAGAACCGAGAACTGAATCGAGATTTTTGAATTTTTGTTATCAGGAGTCGAAACTAAAACGCTTTTGCTGATAACTGGGGAACTATTCAAGTGTTGTACGATTTTAAGTTAGAAAGATCAGTCTATGATTGCAACAGCGAGAAGTTATGCGTATCTTTCACTATTGCATAAAAAAATAGGTTAAAAATGGTTAAAGTATGATTAATGATCCTAAAAAGCCTAGCGTTAGTAAAAAGTCCCTTTTTTAGAAAAGGTTTATTTAGATATCTAGTGTGCAATTTCATTATTAGTACGATTTTGAGCCATGCTCCTGTTGAAAGCGACGCTTTTAGCATAAAAGACGACTTCTTCTAAAAGAATTGTTTTTTGCAGAAAAAAGTTGGTTATTCTTACAGCCGTTGTTTAGTGACGTGTCTCCATTAGTATTCTATCGTAGTACGACATAAACATAATGATTGATTTTTGTTTGAGAGTACTTTTATTAAAAAAATGACTTGTACCAAAGAAAAAAAATGTTTTGCTTTGAACAAAATTTTATGGAGAATTTTTCATAAAATTCCTTAGCTTTCGAAAGGAGTTTTTCACTTAGTATCTGTCTTAAGGTTAGGAATAGAAGAAAATTAAAAAAGAAAAAAGATTTACGAGAGCTACTAGACTCCAGTATCTTCTGGTAGATAAAGAGGAAAGAATAAACTTTTTCAGTCGCATTGACTGATCGCCATTGGAGATGCGATAAACACCAAAAATGAGTAAAATAAATATAGCAAAATGTCTTAGCTCTCACTAAGAACAAAACATAAAGCTGAAGTTTCGTTTTATGTGTAACTTTATCAACAACAACATTATGCAGCCAAATAACAGCCATAATTTTCTGATTTTTTCTCTGTGTTTTTGTTTTCTTCTAAAGAAATTGCTTTTTCAAAACTAATAGATATTAATAATTTCGAAAACTAAGGACAACTTAGAAATCTCTAGAAAAAAACTTATTATATCTGTTAACTGGTAAATTATTATTACTTCACTGACTCCAAAAATAGTGTTTAGGAATCGCAATTCGAACGATTTTCTTGTCATTTTCACTAAGGGTGTAGGTATGATTAACTGAATCGGTGTAGAAAAGACCCAAACGAACAGGCACATTGGTACTGGCACGCATATAAATATCCACATTCATACCCATCCTTGTGTATACATTTGATATTAGTATCGATTAGGCTTGTATAGAAGTACATTATATAGAAAGAAATGAACATTCAGTCGAGCATCAAGCGAATTGTAACGACGAGCATTATTGGTTATATAAATTAGAAGTGAAATTTACCGTTAAAGAACTCTATGGAAAATGTAATCGAAAATATTCTCAACAACATAAATGCAATATTCAGACAAGAACTAATTAATAGATTTTTAAAGCATCGACATTTGATGAAGGGGGTGTTTGCCGTACTCATGGATATATAACGATTGCACAAATAATCGAATATTTTTGTCAACATTACACATCACTTAAATCAAATGGTGAAATAAACGCTCTTGATAAACTATGAAATAGTGAAGAAAACTCTTTTCCCAAGTGATCAATGATTTAACAAATTCACTCGGTCAAGTCATTTTATCATTAAATAAATGTATCCAATGTCGCACAGTTTCACGTGATTCAACACCTTATTTACCTGACTCAATGCAAATAATGATAATTGAATTGAGTTGAAATAAAAAAGAATTCAGCCCCAAACTAACACGTGGAAAATGAGATCATACTCTTTGTTTTTTTACTTGATGTGACTGGCTCAATACTTGGCATTTTGGATGATTGTCTTTATGAATCGATCATTGTTCTTATTGATGTATTTCAAAAAATCCAATGTTATTGTATTCAATTGTGATAGTGAACTAATTAAAAAGATTGAACAAAGTTAAAAAACAGTTATTGTTTATTATTTATTAAAATTATTATAATTTGAGCGTGATGATGACACTAAAGATACATATATTGTTGAAGCAGCTATATGATCTATTAGTGAATTGCTTGATTCTTAGTGAACGGAACAGATTTTTACTGACAAGACGTTAAGACAGGTGTGGTAGACATTTATCGTTTGCTCAACAACATGCTGACGATGTGCATCGAACGAATCTCGAGTTCTGATACAACCTTTATATTGATTGTGCGACACGTTAGGTACCTACACATCCTCTACTTAACTTATCTGAGACAGAAATGCAAGTTACTGCACTTTAGTAGAAATTATTAATACAAGACCAAGTGAAGACGAATACTTCGACGAATGATGCAAGTTCTGTCAATCATTTATTCAAAGATATTAAAATAAATAACATGTTTGTCGATGCCATCAAAGATTTGACCAGAGAACGTGAACAAGTTTTAGTAAAAAGTAGTAATTAGAGTTCTGCGGTTCCAAAAACCAATCAGAACCAACAATAGAATTTTGGCTTTCGTTCCGAAAATATTGCGTGGAATCGAAACTGTTAAAATTATCAAATAGAGATGAAAAATTTAAATCTATTTTCATTTCAGTACTTTAATACGACAATATTATGTACATAGATTGAAGTCTTTAATCTCAAGAATGAAAAAAAAAGGTTTTTGAACATGAATTTAAGAGTCTATGTATCTATCTGATGATTTAATGATCCCAAACTGTTTTTCATGATTTTCGTTCAATTCTTGGTTCCAAATTTTTCGAAACCAGTAAGTTTCAGTTGAAACTCACCAACGAATATGCCTCTCGTTATTTTTTTCTCATTACTTGGATAGTACTCATATTATGTCGAGCATGATTTTCAAAAAACAAAAAAAAAAAATAAATGGCAGCTATTATTACTAGAATAGATGGGCAGATTTAAGAGATATATCCGAGTTTGGTAGTTGAAATAAGATTTGATATTGTCAATGTTCGTGATATATGTGATCATCCTCACTATGACACAAAAGATTTACAAAAATTGAACCAGAAATAACTAAATTTCTTGATAATCTTACAGCAATCAATGATGATGATTTTCGGGAAAGTTACGATAGGTACACTTGTTCAATGTTTACATTAGAAAAAATTGGAGCAAACCAAATGCATGCTTTATTATTTTAATCGTCATGTACCTGAACATGGAACAGAATTGAATGATGATCCGACTGATATTTAGAAAGATAGTATAGATCATTCAATAACAAATATACGTATATGTGATAGGCTACTTCAACAAGGTTCAAAAATTCATTTGTATTTTGTTGTATTACACCAGAATATACAAAAAAAATGCCATTAAACTTTCAAAAAAGATCTAATCAAGCCAAAGCAAAATCTGGCAAAACATTTACAGTTATTAAACTATTCGACAGAACCAAATAACAAATACAATCATTTTATTTACTTGTTTTTCCTCTATGATTTAAGTTCAAGGAGTAGAACAATATGACAAGGATTAGAAGCAACTTATCAAAGTTCTTTTTATCAACAAAACACAATTATCAAGATGGTGATGATGTATTCACTGTATTTAACTTTTTTTGAAATCAACCACATGTCTGGTCAGGGATATGTGAATCAAGTCATGAGTAAAGAGGCTATGGATATGAAATGTGAGTTGTTATGAGTGAAAGAACGATCGTTATCTACATACGAACGTATACCTGCATCCTACACCTACATTTCGTTATGTTGCAGTCTAATATCTGCCTTATAAATTTTACTACTTCATACTTGAATATATGCCACTGGCTTATTGGTTCTTTTTACGTTGATTGACAGAAATATGCATTAGTTACTTATTTTTCTGTTCTTTTCGTATTCTTATCTGATATTATTCAATTCTAATTACGACGTCATTTTAGAAGCATCACTGAGTTTATC